CTGTGGGCCCGTATTTAATTGGCAGGCCAGAGCGCGCCTGGATGACCACCAAGCAGGACTAGCAGAGATGACCAGAGGGCAGAGTAGGCACGCCACCACATGGCACTAGCTTCCTCCCACAACCGGCATCCTAGCCCTTCCTGAGTCTTCCCACAATCCCACAGGCAATTCCATCTGCTTCTGTTGTTCCTCTTGCTCTCATTAAGGAGGGCTGGCTGGGGCGGCAGCACCACAAAAAAACTCCACCAGACAGGAAAGGTGCCAAGGCCTGCAAATGTGCTGTATATGGAAATGCAACTCAGTGACCCAGTGGGGTTAAATCCAACTCCAGAAGGGCCTCAGGTCACAGTAACTATCATAACAGGCCTCATGGATCCATACTAGTTCAGAGTTCACTACTTCTCTAAAGTTACCCAGACTTACCGTAAAAAGTCCCGAAAATCACCCCGACAGAGACAGTTGAATCATTTTATACATATTACCTCAGTTCTGAAACAACAACAGCTTTTATTGCTCTACATAACAATCGAGCGGTTAAACTTTTAAAAGATGTACACAAAAAGGCCACAGTTCTCCGGAGAAACGGACGTCAGTGTCGTCATCCAAACAAAACAGAAGACAAACCGCTGCTGTGACTTCCCTCAGTGTGTGTACATTCCCCAGCCACAAACACAGCTCTCTGGGATCAGGACTCGGCGACCATCTATTACCGAGTGTTTATTTTACTCCGGGGGAGCAGACAAAACAGGACGAGAACGGTTTGGTTTGGAAACGTCTGTTTGGACTGAAACACTGAGAAGGCGAGGGAGTAAAGTGACAGTAAAATATACTAAAGGTGTGACGACAAAAATACAGACGACTTCAGGAGCCGTAAAGTTTATTAAAATAACTCTGACTGTAAGACTGTTGATTATCTTGGATTGACTTAAAGCTCCTGCGAGGAACTTTTCATTTGTGTCAATTTTGAGTAATAAATTCCCATTCTGTTGACTTTGACAGTAAAATTTAAAGTTTATTGTGAATACTTTGTTTAAATCTTCAAACATGGCTGTTTTTCTTCTTGAATGACACCTACCCCCTCGCACCAGTTTCACGCATTAAAAACCGCAATATAAAAACTGTCAATCTTTTTGCTAATGATCTTGTTTGCTTTTGAATACAACACCAAAGCATTAATATGAATTTCAATTTAATTCAACAAAGTTAAAAAACTCCTTATAGGAGCTTTAATGTATATGTAAACAATGATTATTAGCTCTTGTATCTTTATTATCGACATTTATGGCTGTCGTAAACATTGTATCACAAAGTTGTTTATGTGATATTACCTGTACGTTTAGACAAAGAAAAAAAAGATTTAAAGAGAATATAAGAAATGTTTTTAAAGCTCCTGTGACCATTTTTTTGTTGGCGACATCATACACTAAACTTGATACTGTTGCCCCTATACAACCTGCAACAAAACAAGATCAGATTGACTTTATAGAGTTATTCTACATGACTGTCATCCATGCCTCAGGGTAGGTGTCAAACTATAAAAAACAAAATATAACATTGCAAATAATTTCAAGAACCTGGCAAGACAAGCAAGGGGGCAAATTCCCCCACTGTGTCCACAAAAACAACACAAACAAAAGTTCCTTACAGGAGCTTTAACGTGGATTATAACAAAATTTCTGCCTTAAATTTGGATTAACACACACTATTGAGTTATCCTAAAACATCTAGTTTAGGTTATTAAATCACGCAGGTGTGAAAGGACTTATTTGTGTATGAAAAACTCTGAGAGACGTTAAGGTAGATGACTGCCAGGCTTTAGAGTGGTCTTCATAAATATAACACATATAATCCTCTAATGACTTGATGCATTTCTCTCTCTCTCAGGGGGAAAAGCCCTGCTCGCTCTTGAGTGTTTCATTGATTTCCTTTCCTTAAGTCTTATTAATGCTCTCCTTCTCAATAATCAATCAAATGGCATTTGCAATACATCACTTAACTCAAGAGTTACTCAAGTTTAACAACGGTGTCTTTTTAAATCCTGTCCCTGTTTTTTTTTTAAACTTTCTGCAGAAGAAATTTGATGTTAATTTTGCATGTACTGACAAACGCCTGTAGACCTGTTGAGCAGCTGGCGTGAGGAAAGTCTTTGGACTAATTAAAAATCCCTGCTGCCATTATAAAAGTCCACATCCGAACAAAAGATGCTGACAGCTTAAGAACTCCGTTGGTCACGTTCGAGCTGAAAGGGCGTAATTATTCAATTGTTTCTCAGAGATTTGTTTCCTTTTTTCCCTCCACTTGTTAAATGTATCTAAGACAAATGAATCTGCTTTGCCGGGCTCCATCTCATGAATGAATAACAATGTTAATCAGGACGGGCTTTGTTCCTCTGCACTGCATGCGGAACAAGTGCAGCCAGCTCACCTGACCCTTTTATCAATTCGACACAATACCGAGCCTAATACCTCCACTGCACGCTCTTTCACCATGCAAATGAATTTACCTGGACCAGAAATACCACAGAACCGAGGTTTAATCAAACAATGCACGGACTGTACAAACTCTCTTTTCCAGCGAGCACTTCTCAGGGTCGTTTCCAAACCACCGCTGTGGGAATCTGGCCGGCTAACAAAAAGGATTTGTGCAGATTTTCTTTAGGGCATGACAGGAGAAGGAGAGCTTAAGTTTGATTGGGGTGAAGAGGCATGAATTATAACGGCAGCGTCTTATCCCTGGTGTAGCATCTCTTGTTTCAATTAGCAGGAAGGGGTCTAGCCCAGAGTATCTCTCCAAATCCACGACCGCTCGCCACTTCACCCCGATTGTTAAAAGAGTAAGGATTGATTAATGGAAATTCTCCAGTGCTGCTTCAGTTTTCAAACTTTATCTCCCTCATGTCATGTGCTCTTAACTCCCCCCCCCACATGTTCTCCATCCATCTGTTCTTTTTCTTTTCAAGCTGTCATATTTCCACTGGCTGTGAAAAAAGAAAGCTTTTTCAAGGCAGCGAGAAATATGTCAATCCCAAGGCCAGAGGACACCAGTAAAAGCTTTGCTCCGGATGTACACACAAACTCCTGTTTCATCTCAAAGGACAAGAGGTTTTGTTGTTTTTTTCTGGGCTTTATACACCACCACATACTTAAGAGAAACTCTTAACTTTAAATCTCACCCATTGCTGAACTTTTCGTCTAAAGAAAACCTTATGGAGGGTGTTTTCTCGACTTAGAGGTCCAATCCATTTGTGTATAGGGACTTTTTCCCCTTTAATACTCTGGAGTTAAACATTTTTTAGTGCGAGTCCTGATATAACTTCTGATCTCGACCTCCAGTTTCAACCTCCAATACCAACACTGGTATCTGCAGAGGCTTCAATCTAAGATTTTGAGTCTGGAATCAGGAGACTTCCAGTCAACACATCTATCTACACCTACAACCTCTATGCAATGTAGACAGTCCTGGTATGGACTATGATAGCCTATGATACCAGCACTTACATTAGTGCTAGTCTTTGAACTGATACCAGAATCAGTATCGGCCTTTGATAGCAAAAACACCAGCATCTTTGATACGATCTACAGTTCAACAATTGGTGTCTAAAAAATTCCATTGTACGTACTTGCCTCCAGTATTGGCCTCTGATATTGATACCACAGTCAGTATCGGCCTACATATCCAATATCGGTATCAGGATGGGTGTTAATACAGGTGGCAGTATCAGTATCACCTTCAAATAACATTACCAGCATCAGTATCAGGTTTTAGCCCCAACACCTTTTCCAGTATCGGTCTTAGAAACTGATACATTAGTATTGGCCTCTGATACCACCACCAATATCGGCCCAGGTCTGAATACCTGCCCCAGACTCTGAAAACAGCATAAATGATGTGTCAGCAGAAGCCAAAACTGATACTTATCCAGGAATCAGTATGGGACTCGAATGCCAATACTGATATTGGCATGATATTGGCAAAAATAGCAGTCAACACATTGGCAAACATTACGCCATTCAGTGTCAAAGAAATCAGAGACTAAGACAAGTTCAGTATCTGCATCACGTACAGATACTAACATTAGTATCGGCTTATGATACAGATACCAGTATCAGCCTCTGGTATAGGCAGCAGTCCTAATATCTGTCTCTTAAACTAATACAGTTATCAGAATTAGGTTAGGTAATATCAGCCTCTGATATTTTACAAATATCGGCCACTGATATCACCACGAATGCAGTATCATATATCAGTAGATATATCAGTCAATGCTTCTACAGCTGACAAGCCATTTAATTTTGTTTGACGTCAGAATCTTATGATAATTTCAGAGTCTGGCTCTAACACAGATACCAGTTTAAGTATTGGTCTCTGATACCATATTTGGTATCAGTATCAGGCTTAATTATTTCAGGTAGTATCAGGTTATGAAATTTAAACCAGTGTCAGTAAAGGCCGCTGATACTGCCAATGGGCTTCAGACACATCATGGTGAATTATAGATCATACTATGTGTTTGTAATACAGTTGGGCTGATGGGCGGTGCCAACAAAGACATATTGAAAATGGTATCAGGTAATGAAAACTGGTGCTGGAACATCTCTAAAACTCTATCATAACAGGGACTATTCATTCATCAGCACATCCCGGCCAGATGTGTCCTTCCCTGATCGGCCACTTTCTATACCACCATCTGCTAACACGTGTGATTCCTTGTTCTACACCAGGTGTGAGGGAATGCCTCTCATTTAAACACCCCACCACAGAGCCGTGGGTGATGCTGTCTGTGTCTAGCCTGAGGGCAGTGATACAACTGCTCATACATTTTTCACACCTTTAAGACAGATGAGGACCACATGGGCTGCCGTACACGAGCAGCCCGTGATAGTCAGTGTTTTGGATTTTCCAGTATCATGGGAATGTGATTAACGTCTCCAAACTGTAAAGAAAAAGGGGAAAGAATGCAGAAAATAACAGCGAAAAAGAGGATAAGCAACCTGGAGAGTCCTTGGGGGGGGGAGTGAAAGCATTGAGAGAAGAAAACAAGACAGCAGCCGCCACCCCCTCCACTCTTCTTCATGTGCTGTTTGGAAGAATGACAGGGATGGAAAGAGAAAATATGCCTGTGGCAGGAAAGAGAAACCGAACCAGCTCATTACTGACCCAAACACAGAGAGGGAAGGAGATATAAAAGTTGAAAATATACTGAGGAACAAAGAGGAAAGAAAATGCAAGAAGGATACCAGATCCAGAGAAAATACTTTGGATTTTCTTCCCCTTTTACATGCCGGCGCGGCATCGTTACGACGATTCCATCACAGCGTGACAGCAGCATATTTTAGAGAGCCCTCTGTAACACAGGCGGTCTGTGGGTCAGCTGAGCGAGCCCTGTTAGAGGAGTCTGCAGGGTCCTCTAATAAGCAGCAGACCCTCAGAATAGCAAACAAGCCTACTACTGAGAAGAAAATGAAAGAGGAGCCACCCCTTCAACAGGATACAAACGTCCCCTGTCTGTGCTTTTCTTCCTCCTCTTTCACTTTTTTTCTGCACTTTCTTCGCATCTTCTTTTGGCCTACATCTCCTCTGTTATTCACGCATGTTTCCTCTTTCGCCTTATCTGCCTATCTCTCCTTTTCTTCTTATCTCCCCCCATCCCCTTCCCTGGGAGGACATAACAAGCTCACTGACTCCCACTCGGCATGTACCAGTGCTGTCCTGTTTTTATGGGGTGACAAATTAGCCCGGTAGAGAAGCAAGCTGCCATGGCTGAGCAGTAAACAACGAGCTCGTCTGAGTGGAAAAATACAGGGTTTGGAGTTGCAAAGGATCCCTTCATCGCTGCTGCTCGTCATCACGCCTCCTTCAACTCCGACTCCTGCCTCCCTCCGGCCTGAGGAGCATGCCCGCTGATTCCACATGGCTCGAGCCCAGCGAGCACAGCCATGGTGCAATGAGCCACAGCTTAACACCATCTCAGATACTGACAGTGTGATTGCCGCCGAGGAAATGGAGCAGAATGGCAGCCAGCGAAGCCAAAACGACAAGTCAACAGGCCGGAGAGTGGGCGATTTCTGGGTAATGAAAGTGTAATATTTTCGGTCTGGTTTGGAAGTTAAGCAGAAAGAGTTGAAGTACTAGCTTTAATGCGCTTTCAGAAAAAACTAGACATGCCCTCTGTAGATCAGTCAAATTAGGTCGTTTTCTGAAGAGACGGCGCACATATGGATACATGCAATTCAATTCCGATTCATGCACTCTCAGAGAGCTGACCCAGAATAGCCTTTCCCATAATCCTGCTTTTCAGGAGGGCAAAAGGGCGACAAAGTGAAAAAGTCAGGCCTTTAATGGATTATACCCGAGGATGACTGACCAAATCACAAAAATCCTTTTCTTCCTTTTAGCAAAATAAAAATGTCATATCCACAAAAACGAGCTATCAAATAATAGGAGGAAGATTCATTTGGATGTGAAATGTTAATTCTGTGACTTCTTTAGATGTCTTTGTTTTACATGTAGAAAAATATAAACATAAATCTAAAATGTGGATGTTTGCAAATCATTATATGTTATATGTTCAACAATCTGGGAATATTTTTTGTATAATTAACACCGAGTTAGTGATTTTGATTGAGTCCTCATTATTACAGACATGACTCTGTAGTGGAAATCACAGCATGGACTCAAAACTGTCTCTGAACTCTTCTCGGGAAAGACCCTCTAGGTTTCAGCGAGGTAATACCAAACCTCATTCTACACATATAACAACAGTGTGGCTCTGTAGAAGAAGAGTCCAGATGCCCATCTAGGTTTGAAACATAAATACAACAAAAAAATATAACATTTTCTGGCAAGACACGCAATCACAGAAAAAGTTAGTCCACATAATTGATTTTAGGAGAAGACTTACTGTCTCCACACAACAAGCGTGAGTAAAATCATTTGCGCGAATGAATTACATGTTAAGTCAATGCAAAGGAGCGATTAGACGCTCCTACAACTCTGGCGAATGATGCAAATTGGGCGAATCTTAACTTGAGCAGATATTTGTGTTGCGATATCTAATCAGCACGAACGTTGCCGGGTTACGTATGAAAACGGACTATTGTTCACTGGGTATCTAAAATGGAGGACAAACTTATTGAGTTGTTGTGTGCCCCAAATCATATATTTTCTTTCAATTACCGAAACTGGAATAAAAAGGAGTTCGTCTGGAGGCAAGTGGGTGAGGAGGTCGGATTACCCGGTAAATTCTAAAAAACCCCGTTATTACTTGATTGGTTGAATTGGCAGGGATGACCGTTCAAATTACCGTTGACGTGTGAATGAAGCGAGTAAAAACTATTCATTCATTCATAAAGCGAGTCGATGATTTTACTCTCGCTTGGTGTGAGCGCCCCATAAGGCTCATGATTGGTCCCCATGATCAACATTTTGCCAACTATCAGGTTAAGGTCATCCGGACCTTGCAGGACTACGTTAAGCCAACATCTTTGAAGTGACTCCGAAAGAAAGCAACAGACTGGAGTCACCCTAACCCTGGAGCTGACCTCAGTCCAGCTGTGCAAAGTCGAGCGTCCTTCTCGCCTCATTCTACCTCGATGCTGTTCTGCGGTTTTGTCGGTACAATCAGACTTTGTTTGCTGAGTTTGCACTCGGTCATCCTGTTTCTCCTTTACGCACAGGAAAAATACAAAAACACCAACTCACCGTCCGCTGTATTATTTCCATATGGACATCGACATATGCTTTCTAAACAGGCACAAATGGCCCCAGGTGGAGGAGACATATGTTATAATTTTACACTAGTTTACTTTTAGAAACGGTGTTTACTTCCTCTCGTGGTCACTATGACATATGAGCGAAATTTCTCAATAAAATGCACATTTGTGTGGGGCTGGTTTGAGGAGCATGCAGCCTCCATTGGTCCACATTCATTAAGGTTTGCAGGCTGCGGTTTGACAGTCTAACAGCAGCCAAAGTGTCACACAAGCAGTCAAATCCAGTGAATCAGTCTGTCACTGAAAATCCCATTATCACTCCTTGGGTAGAGGTAGCCCAGAGTAAGAGACTGAGCTGAATTACCTCTCTGTATACTGTATCTCCTCTCCTTGCGCCTGTGTTTGAGGGCAGAGGCCACGAAAATAATCTCCTACACAGTGTCACACCAACAGCTCCAGCCTCTATCCACCTACTCAGGCTAACAAATTAAAATCCAGCTATGAAAACCAAATAATGAGTAAACAAAAAGCCATTTTATAAAGACCTCATAGAAAAACCAGCCCCAGGGGGGAGGGGGAATATAAATTCTAGTTAAGAAGGCGCCACAGTAATCCCACATTTTAATGGTCTTATCTTAATTATGGAGAAATTGTGCTCCCCCGCGGGGCAAAGGAGCCATCACCGAGGCAATAAAAGTACAGGGAGGGAATTTTTGTTGCGTTAATTCATGTAAACACACATACATAAGCATTTAATGCATGCAAACCCTTTTAATAGACGTCAGATGACACACACACACATGGTTACACCGCATGGCCTGGCTCAAGGAAGGATGAATGAGACCCAAGAGCCATTAGTCATGTGTGACCCAGCCAGGCGTAATCAGAGCCTAATTCAACAGAGATACCACCTCTGAGGCTAAAGCCCGATCCTCATTAATCATTACTGCATCAGCTAAAGCACCGGCCTATGGCTTCAGTCTTTATTAATGGCACCCCACTTTAACTCCCTCCGTTTCTGGTCAAGCTACAGTGCTCCGAGACAGCAGAGATCAGAAATCCAAAGAGACTCTGAGGGCAAACAAGTGGTCCCAAGAATAAAGCAGAGGAAGTGAATTAAAGCCGCTATTACACCCAACACAAACGCTCACAATTAATTCTATTTTGAACGGCACAAAACAGCTTAAGAGCTCAAAATCAGGCGTCTAATAATCCACTACTGTAAGACTCTATCTCCCTCTTTCTCTCAGTTAGAGAATAAGCTAAATATAGGGAGGAAAAGAACGGCGTGGGATTTTCACTCGCTCCGTGAATTCATTATGAGAAAAAAGATGTCATTGACACAGATTTCAGGAGTTTAGAGGATTGTATTTGTCAATTTTCTTGGCTGTAATACAGTGAATACACTTAAAAAAGACAGACTCAGAGTGGGTTTCCAGTTCTGGGATGTCTGCGCTACAAACTCCCCATATTTTAAATCATTTGGAAAGTTGTGAATTGATCCCAAAGGGTGACGCCTCCCTGGTTTCCTGTCAGCTCCGTACTTCCTAAAACAAAAGTCTAATAACGCCCCAAAAGAGCGCTGAATAAGAAATACTGCTGGAGCCACTCAGTTTGGTAAAAGTTGGTGACTTTGTCTGATATTATCCTCTGAGGGTGGTAGACTTTAAAGAAAAGAGACAGGAATGACTAAGATGTAATTCTGCTTATTGATCTCATTCTGTGGGATCAAATCTTGGGAACTTTTTTGGGGGGAACTGTTGGCGTTTTTTGTGTCAGTAATATATTCTATCAAACTTTATCATCTTTACTGCTTTGCTAAAACCAGGAAGAAGCCTTTGAAAGTCAGCAAATCACAGCCTCTGATTGGTGATGGCCAATGTCAAAGATGGCGGCATAGTTGGCTAACAACAGAAATCTCTCAATGACACTGAAATAAATACATAAATAATCACAGATCACCTTTGTTTTTTAAGGGACAGGAGTTTATTGCCGGGAAAGGTGTCGCTCTCACAAACCGAGTGGATTTGGTGTCTATATTGTCCTGATTTAACTGCAAAGCATAAAGGTAAATGATGCAAATGGTTCAAAAAAGTTGGAACTGGTTCTGATCTGAAACGGTTTTAAATTCCTAATAAATTCAACAACAAGTTCTTAAATGATTTATATAAACTGCAGTTCCCAAATTGGCCTCTTGGGGTCAGCTTTAACAGTGAGCCAGTTCCCATAAGGTCCCATGTAAAAATGTCAGCCCTTAAAGTTAAACATGTTTATGTGATCTCTATGTTTCTTTTTAATTTAATTTAATTTTTAATTTATTCATTTAATTTTATTTATTATTATTATTATTATTATTATTTTTTATTATTTTTTTTTTTTCATGGCCACTATAATACAGGGTGAATTTTTCATTTTAGCCTTTTCCAATCTCCATGTTTTAAATTAATTAATTAATTTATTTAATTTATTCATTTATTTATTTCCACTTTTTCCACCTACTTCAGGTCACTACTGGTGAACAAAAAATCTGAAATAACATGATGCTCATTTGCTGAAGTCAAAGTATCAAAAAGGCCACACAAAGTTTGGTTTGGGAAAAATAACCCTTTTTTTCCGGAATTGAAACATTTCAAACCCAAATCCAGTAAGTCTGTCCCGCTCAGGGCGAATCCTCGTCTTCTCACTTAGCTTATGTCTTCATACCGACGTTGAATGCCATATGGACGCCTCTAAATTCTGCTCTGTGTTGTATGATTCAACTAAAGGGCAGCATTTATCATATTTGCCATGGAGTGAACTAGAGTCGCTTTCCTCTCGCTGTGAGCAGAGACCAATTTAGGAAGTGGAAAATGGAAAAACCTGGAGTGGCCTGGAGCAGAGTGATTACAGGATGATTTGAGTGTGGGGCTGAAATTGCTGCTGAGCCGCTCCGCTCATAAATGTGTGTGAGTGTGTGTATGTCTCTGTTGAAAGTAGCACATAAAACAAGTGCTACTGTTTTAGATAAGAGTTTGCAATCATTTGAGGACCTCTTGGCGCCTGTTCCTATTTTGAGACCAAGGGTCAGCAAGAGTTCTCAGGACCAGGTTTGTTCGGCTTTAGTCAACATTCAGATCAGGACACTCCTGTTTTTTCAGATTTATCATAAACTCCTGTACTCATCGACATGTTTGGATGATGATCTCGACTTCCCCATTAGTCCGACTCAGACTTTTAGCCTTTCTAATAAACACAGGCTTAATTACACTCCTCGTTTGATTGATTAATTTGCTCTCCAGTTTGGACACTTTTGCAGCAACTCCTGAAAAGACACCACCTCTGCCTCTGAACGGAGCAGAAAACACCATTATGCTGACACTGTAACTGAGGGATCTACAGTAAGTGGGCTTAAAAAGCTGGTTATTACTTTCCATCGATTCGTAAAACATGCCTCGAGCTTTGAGCTAAAATGTCGTGTTTTGTTAGGGGTTATAATTATTTCGTTTAAGGGTCGGGCAAGGCTCATTGACTGTAATTTTTCGCCTTTTCTTTCCTCGGGCTGTGAAGTGGGATCTGAAGCTTGGATCACACTAAAACCTGAGATTATTTTAAAAACCTCAGCGCCCCCGTATGATGACAAATAATGACAGAGACATACAAAATGAGGTGAACACACCACACACATACAAAGATCAGGGATCTGTAAATACTGAACAGTTTTAATATGAAGGGTCGACTGATATTGGTTTTCCTGAGTCGATACTGATACAGATTATTAGTTTCCGATAACCGATATTTGAGTTCAACAAACTTTCTGTCTTATCAGAAAATGTGAATGAAACAAACTCAGAAGTTTTGTTTAAAGGCCTTCAGCTAAAACTAAAACATCAACTGAGGTGTAAACAGTTACCAAGTCCGTCCTGGAAACCTGATTTGTACTGAGCATGTGCGAAATGTACAGTATGTCATTTCCTCTACTAGTCATCTTTGCAACAAGCTCGCTACAGTCAGAAAGGATACTTCAGTTTATCACCAGCCACATGTTTTTCTTTTCTCCTGAACGGAGGGCTTCTCCCCACTGAAGCAGAGTCCCGGAAAGTCAAGAGAATGGTGCCCAGTTCTACGATTAAAGGTTCCTATTTCAAACTTCATTGTAAAATTGCAACGTAGCTGAAAAGGCTCGAATGAATGTGAATATTTCTGTATAAAAACGCTGAAATTCATTGTCCATATTGTAAAGGCTTTTGGTTAATAAATTTGATTTATAAAATAAATGAAATAAATCCCCCCTTTGATACCGTGAAAAGTCAGAGAACCATAATTTTGACCACGTGGCGGCACTCTCTGTAGCCCAAAAGGTCTCATCATGCTGGGCAGGAGCTCTGGCGGATGCCTCGGCATTAGCACTAGAGCCTCCTGCTAGCTAACCTGTCACATCGCCAGCTTGTTTCTGAATCGATTAGTAGTTTAAATAAAGTTTTTAAGGTGACGGATCGTGTAGGTAGTGACTCACTGCCATAAAACACATTGAAATGCCAAGAAAGAAAGTGACGTACTTTTCGCACATGGGCAGTATAAATCAGGTTTCCGGGATGGATCGTTGGCGACAACACTTAAACAGTTAACTTAACATATATCATCCAGCCAATCAGATTGTGCTGTGGGCAGGATATGAGTTAAGACAGAATGGAAAGTAGAAAAACAACCCAGAGGGAAGGACAAACCAGCGAGCCAAGGTAACACATTTCAAATCAATTCATTTCAAAGTAAAACGCCAATACAGATTATCGGCCAGATGACAAATTGGCACCGATTGGTCTGCCATTACTTAATATTGATGAATTCAGACAGCACCAGTTGTCAAGGGGGGAGAAAAGTCTCTCTTAATTTCCCTCAACCTCAGAATAATCTGGAAGGATAATCTTCACAACTATCTGATAATTAAGCTTTTGCTAATTTTGTCGGAATAGGGCCAAAAATCAGCAAAGGTATCAATTTATTGGCCGAAAATGTCACTTAAGCTCCTATTTTCTTACAAATAAAACCTAAACACTCTCCTCTATCTTACCTGCTCGAAAACAAAAGTTACAATAAAGAGAAATAATCCCTTTGATTTCTTGTAGGTTATGTAATCTGAAAGAAATCACTCTACAGAGAGCACATACCTGGACACACAAATAAACCATCAAAGCGCAAAAAACACACATGACCCCTTTTGTTAAGCGGAGCGCAGTCATTAGCGACACATCACAGAGGAACGAGGGTCTCGCAGAATGAAAGCCGGAGGAAGAGCTGGTGAAAATGACTCATGAAAAAAAAAAAAAAAAAAGGAAAAAAGAGCAAGATCAGACGGAAAGGAGGGCAGGAAGCCGCGAGGCGAGAGGTGACTGGAGAATGAAGATGACGCACTCGATTGGTCCCTCTCTAAAAGGCCTCTCATTATCTATTCCCGTGGTAATGACAGCACAGAGAGGAAGCGACACCAACCGTGATTAGAGGCAAGCTTTCCCTCTCTTTGCTCACGCCACACTTTCTCTTCCCCCCCCTCTTCAGTCCCTGGAGAGAACTTTAGATTTCACTGTTTGACTCCCTCCCTCTTCTCTCTCTCTCTTTTCTTAAGAGCAAGGCCACCTTAAAACGGCGTTTTCTCTCCTGCCATTACTCTGAGTGTATGAGAACAGCACCAACAAAGAGCAGCAGTCTTTTCTCAAGTAAGAATACCTCTTCTGGTGTACTCACACGCTGTCAATACGCTATTCTAGTGTGTCAACGCAACACCTGTCCAGTCCGCACGCTTTAAAGGATGACAGCACCATATGTAGGCCTCTTGGATGTGGATTCAGTGACAATCCAGCCTGTTCCAGTACCTACTCCAGCTCTTAGACGTAGTCAGGATAAAATGTAAGGAGTCTTGAGGGAGAGCAGGACAAAGACAGGTGGTAAATTAGGTTTAGAAGAGAGGCAGAGGGAATTCTGTCAGAACAAAAGGTCAGGGGTTAGGGGGTCTCGAGATCTGACCCTCAGCCTACAGAGATGTTGAGGATTTGGAGTTGGAATGTTGTAGAGATAAATAGATGTCTACATAAAAACAAGCAAAACTACAAAAGATGGGGAAAAAAGGTGCCAAAAAACTCTTGAAAGAAACAAAAAGAACTACAAAAGCATTTAAATAAAAGGCTGAAATTAAGACAAAAAGACAAATATAATCAGAAAATACACAATACAGTAAAAAGGAGTAAATACGTGGACCAAAAATAAAAAGTAAAGAGTTGCAAAAACTACAAAGAAGTAGAAATAAAACCAGACTCAGAGAGTACCACCATAAAAACAAAAGACAAAAAAAACCATCAAAAGGTCAAAAAATGACAGGAAGCAAACATAGAAGAAAAAAGCAGACAAAAAAAAACACTTCAAAGAGACAAAAATTACCACAAACAAGTTCAAAGCAGCAAAAAAGACAAAACAAAGAGAAAAAGCAACAAAAAATAAACACACAAAACAGCAATGAGACAATTCAACTTCAAATTGACAAAAAACAGACAAAAAAACAACCTCGGAGTCAAAAAATAACAACAAGCGAACATAAAAGAAAAAAAAAGACAAAAAACAACTTCAAAGAGACAAAAAATGAACACAAACATGTTCAAAGCAACAAAAAAGACACAAAACAAAGAAAAAAAGAGACAAAAATAAACACACAAAACAGCTATGAGACAAAACAACTACAAAGTGACAAAAAACTAGAAAAAAAAACAGTCAAAACTACCAAGAAAACAACAAATAGACGCAGTAGGAGACATGAAAGCAACACATCTACACAAAACAAAAACAGAAAGACTATGAAGAACATCTTGAGGGTTTAGAAAGACGCAAAACAGCTTGAAAGTGGCAAAAGTACACAAAAGAAAAACAATAAGGACATAATTACACAACAAAAACACAAAAAAACTACTGAGTGACATCAAACTACAATAAACACACACGCAGTCGCTCAGATTTGGTCAGAGGTCAATCTCAAAGTCACAGGAGCAGCAGCACAAACATCAACACAGGCAAACAGATGTCGCCTACTGCAGCTTTAATTCTGCGACCCGCACATGGGTTCCAACTGTATACACCTCCGATCATCACGCTCGGCAGGATTATCCTAAAATGACTCATTTCCCTGAACCCACAGAAACACATGCAGCTCCTGCAGCCTGTGCATTGATCCCATGCTGTAAGTAGTGAAGCTGCAGGGGGAGTAATTTCATGCCAGGTAGGCTCCGTCTCCTCTCCTTGTCTCCCCGTTCACCCCTGACAGAATAACCAGACCCACAGGGCCTCTTCACAGCAGGTGCTCCGTCAGAGCCTAACCTCGCACGCCCACTCACCCACCCACCCTCTTCTGCCTCATCACTCCCCCCCTGACATCACAGGCAGCACACAGGAGGCCATGTTCCCCTCAGCATTAAGACGCAACACTATGTTACAGCTCTATTAGCTAACTAATCTGAGAGAACTTTATTTTATTAGCCCCTTAAGACTCCTGCCAAGGCCCTTTTCATCCTTTATGGATTCAGTAACTGTGCAGGCGCAGCCTCCCTGCCCCCTCCCTCTTCCTCCTGTCTCTCTCAATCTTTCAATCTCTCCATCTCACATGCCTCCTCTCCTCTCCTAACACAGTCCGGTTATGCACTGCTTTCAGGATTCTGGTAAACTCGCACCGCAGGTTCGCAAGCCTCCTCCAAGCCGAGGCCGACTGCGGGCCAAATTAGCACCACAACAGCTGATGTATGAAGAATTGAAAGGCGAGGGAACGCAGCAGGGACTGTTTGTTTCTTACAAAATGGACCTCCAGCAGCGATTCAAACTATAAGGTGTGCACTAACAGCTCCACTGACACCTATTGTCGGTATTTGCTTTACACACTCTCCGCTCCGTCTCACGGCTCGCTCTTTTTCCTGCTCGACAAAAACAGCACAACACATTCAAAAAGGTGTGTAGGAGGGCGGCGCGGCTGCGAGGGCACGGCTTTCAGCAAGACAGGACCCGTCCATCATGGAAAGTGGGTCCATGACTCCGCCGCGGAGTATTCCAAACACCACATACATGTTGTTCATTTGTTCGTCGCGGCTCTTTTCATCTGACTCTTTAAAATTCACCCGCTGTCTTATGAAAATGAGATATCTAGTGGCAAGCCACTTCAAATGCGGCCATTTGTTCAAGGAAAATAAAGCGGGATTCTATACCTGCGAGGAAAACATGAAATATTTCATGTGAGCTGCCCTCATAAATTATGTAAAAGGGGACAAGAAACACAACTTGAAACGGTTCAACATATGTCCATACATATTACATCAACATACGTCTTCTATAAAACATGTGAAGTCACACAGAGAGAAACAGATCTGCCAGATATGTCCTTGCAACAAGTATACGCTTTGTGCCGAGTATAGAAATAATGCACAGGCATGCTAACAGCTTGTTCTGCTGGGAGAGACGCCTACTGAATAGATTCATGTCAAAGGACAACGCAAGCGTAGTTTCATGTCTGTAATATTGTCAACAAATTACATAAAGCAGCAGAAACAAAAGAGGGCTGATCCAACCGGTACAGACAGATCCAGACATGGCCGCTGCCTCGAAGCATTAAGATGTACTGATGCACAGAAAATCAGAGACGCGGCGACCTCTTTGACAAGGTCGGAGAAAATCTGCAGCAACTCAATGCATCTGAAATCTCAAATTATGTCGTTTTTTTTTTAAGGAGCTGGAAAAAGAGGAAGTACAAGAACGGAGGTGTTAGAAAGGAGAGGCATTGGTGATCTCTTTTGAATTGAATTCTTGTGTGAGGGACCAAAACACCTTTTATAAAATCCATCCAATTCTTTAAGATTGTGATATCACTCTCCGGTCTACGCACGGGTTCAACGCCAATATTCACTTTGAGAAAAGCCTCTTTTATCAGATCGTAGTAAGTTTCAGACTAGGGCTGGGCGATATGGCCTCAAATCAATATCACAATATATTGAGCAGTTTGCCTCAATAGCGATAAAAGGACGATTACTCCACAAGCTGCTCACCTCCCCCCACATTAACTTTGTCTACTTCAGCCGCCGCTCCAGCCGCTACAACTTTTGAACGTCTTAAAGGGACATGAGACCACAGCCTACCTACACACATCCAAAACTAACTTTTATGTATGAATTTTTTTGACACTGAATATACCGATATGGACAAAATGACGTCGGTTATTATTGTAAACTTCAGTATCTGTAAATTTTTAGTTTATCGCCCAGCCCTATTTCAGTCGCTCTAAAAGTCAAAGCTACACAGAACAACAGCAGAGCCAGACTAGGATGGCTAAAGTGAGGCACAGACTTTTATAAAGAGGTGGTCAAGCTTACATTAAACCTTGGAGGCGCTGATGTCAAAAGTTTGTGGAACATTTTTAACTTTAAACTGTAACTAAACAAGTGGCAATATCTACATTTGCTCAACTTAATTCAATAAAGTAGGGCTGGGCGATAAACCAAAAATTTACTGATAACCAACGTCATTTTGCACGTCAATATATTCTGTGTCAAAAAAAAATAGAGAGAAAAATAGAGACATGACTCCACCCCATCCAGTCCGTAAAAAAGAGGGAGAGACAGGTGAGGAGATGGAGGACGGTTTAAAAGTTGTAGCAGCTGAAGTAGATGAAGTTAATGTGGGAGGGTGTGAGCAGCTTGTGGAGTAGTTATCGTCCATTTATCGTTATTGAGGTGAACTGATCAATATATCATGATGTTGATTTGAGGCCATATAGTGCAGCCTTACATTAAAGCTCCTGTAAGTAACTTTAGGTTTGTGTCACGCTTTGTCTTGTGACAAAACAGAAGGTCTCATCTCGCTGATTTCTTCATCAAAAGTCCTATAATTGTAAAATCTTAATGTAAAAAGGAAAAAGCAGGGCCATTTCTGCTGCGCTGACACCTACCCTCTCCCACTTGTTTTTAGCTTTAAAATTTTCATATCAATATTGTCATTGATGGTCTTGTTTGACTTAAGATATAAAAAGTTACTAGCAACATTTTAAGTCTGTTTCATGGAGGTAAAAAAAAAAAAAACCCTTACAGGAGCTTTAACTAAAGAAAATGTCAGAAAAACAACAACGTGGTGCTAGCTAGAGATCGGGAAATATCACTAATCTGGCAAAAGAGTGGGAAATCGCTTTAAAGAGTCAAACAGTTTGTAGCATGCTAAGCTAAAGTCCTGATATTAGAGCTAAAGGTATCCAGCTCTAACATAAAATGCATATTTTTGTATCACAATGATATTATTTGCAGCAAAGTCTGAAAAAAATAGGATGCAATTCCTTTTAACAAGAACAGTTGCAGATAATTTAGTGCAGGAACTGGTGCGGCGCAGGCGGCAGAGGTGGGCTTTGATTCAGCGTGAGGTTTGGGACCTTTGCTCCTGCACGCTCCAGATGTTTTCCCCCGTCATGGCGCTCCTCCATTATCTCAGCTGCTGTGCGCGGCTCGGCTGCTGCGAGGCTTTGGTGGAGGAAGATCAGAGCAAAACAGAAGTGACATCAAACAGAGGGCAGCTCCCTCATGAGCCGCGCTGGAGGGGAGTTCGGACGTCTCGCTCGACGGGAGAGGCGGCCCGACGGCGGCGGCGGGGCCCTGTGCCAGAGGAAGGCGAGGCACGTACTGGCGGCTTACGTGAGCGCACACGGATCACTCAAGCAAAGGATGAAAAAATCAGACCAAACCTCACACACACACACACGGCAGATACTATAATAACGCCATCAGAGATAGCCTAATGATATTGGAGGGCAGAGTGTGTGGGCGCCTTTGATCTTCCCTCTTTCCCTCCTCGTACCTCAGAGCTCGTTGCGAAGACAGAAGTGGAGCGGAGTTAAACAAGAAAAGACAGGCAGAAAAGGGTGAGACGGGGAAAAAAAATGCACTGAAAAAAAAAAAAGTAAAACTCGAAATAAAAGAGTGAGTGAAGCCTTTCGGCGGAGAATCAAACCAGTCCTTGGTGTACCAGCGGAGGAGGAAACGGACGGTTGACAGCCCACCACTCTCACAGCTGCCCCTCAAGCCCTAACTGAGCTACTGGGTTTGATTTGGCCAGAGGAGCCGCCGCAGTGCCACGATTTGTCTTTCAGAGACAAATAAAGCATGTCTGTCTGGTCTGTCAGTCCAGCTGCTAGCTCCCAGCATTCAACCTACGCCTCCTCTGCGTCTGTCTCGTCCCACAACAAACCCGACAGAGGTCCTTTCAGATCGGGGCTGTCAATCAAACAATAAAAAGCTCATCTCCCAGCGAATACAGAGAACAAATGTCAGTCGGTGGAGGAAAGAACGGCGCTCTGTTACTACAATTTCAAATATCTTGTTTGTGTTTGTCAGTGGGTACATCGAGGCATTGAACCACCACATCCTCCGACTTGACAGCGTCTTCCAGCCTGGCAAACACGTCTGACTTTGCTGGAATCAGAGAACGGATCTATTTTCAGGGATCTGACAAGGCTCGCTGAGGTCAAGGGATCAAGACCTCTGTGTTCTGCACCTGAGGGGCAAGGAAGCAGCTGCACAGGCCGAGGAAAGGCATCTGAGGAGGACTTAGCATCTAAATCCGAGCATGAATGCCGAACAGGGAAAGTCAATGGTTATACAGCTGAAATCGCTTATTTTGTACGACTCTAAAACAAAATACGGCCCAGTTCTGTTCGACAGTTTAAGCTTCCAGAGGAAAAGGAAGAAAAATCAGATGAGAAAAAGTGATACTATTTTTCTCTTGACCTTTACAGATCATGAAACTTTGACTTAAATATCATCACTTTAACAACCTCGTCTTTGGATGGAATAATTAGAAGATAGACGATACGCAAATAATTGAAAGGTTGTTCTTTTGAAGAGTTGCATACAAGTACTGATATATGCATTAGAACCAATATCGACGCAGGTACTGCTATCACCAAAGTGTTGTTTTTTAATGCTCACACAACTAAAATCACCTTTTTATAAACCTATGTAAATACCAATATTGATATAGCTATAAGGATAGCTATCGGTATCAGTATTGATATTGGTCTCGACTGCTTGAACCAAACTATTGTTTTGAGTCTACACAACAAAACAACTTTTTATAAGCCAGTGTTATGATACTTGTACATATATCAGTATCAATACCAATATTAGTATTGGTATCAATATTTGTACAGTTTGCACTAAACTGTTGTTAGTTGAAGCAACTCTCTTTAGGCCAGTATTGTGATACTAATAAAAATATCTGTATTAGTATCAATATCGATATAAATGCATTAAGCACCAAACTGTAGTTGGTAATCATGCTAACCAAAACCACCTGATCTAAACCGATATCAGTACTGATATCATTACCAAGTATGTGCAACTTTTTTTGTTTTAAATCCAGTATTGTGATACTGATACCAATATTTTTTATCAGTATCTGTATCCACTTACACTGCTAGCATCAAACTGTATGGTGTCTGTCATAACTATAATCACTTGTTTTTAAACCTGTATCAACACTAAGATATCAGTATCAGAACCTATACTAGTACAGCTTGCACTAAACTGTTGTTATAAGGTGTGTTCACACAGCTAAAACCAGTATTCTGATACCAATACAGATACTACCAATACAGATATCAGTATCAGTATTGGCAAAGCAAGTGCTAAACTGTGGCTGTTTGTGATACTCACACAACTAAACCAACTGTTTTAAACCAACATGATACAGACTCTATATCTGAGTCAGTACTGGTATTCTGGTTCTGGAACTGCTCGCCCAACACCAAACTGTTGTTCTTAATCATGTTTAGACACCAGAAATGTCTTTTCCTCTTTTGTTAGTACAATTAAAATCACAGATACAGATATATACTGATAAACTGGACATCATTACCGATACCAATACAGGTATCATCAACGGCACTGTCCAAACTCCTCCACATCATCATATATGCTATCAAATGAAAAGGTTCCAGTTCATGTAATGATAGGAACCAACACTGGAACTGCAAACTAATCCAGATATTAGTATCTGAAGCTGATACTGAGAGTGATATTTGACCCCGAGTTATGACGCTTGTCCAAAAATAAAAAAAAGCTTTTAGTGATTTTTTCTGCAGTGCAACACAATGGTGATCCTTCTTCTTTAAAACCATCTGGCCTCCTGATTAAAAAACATCTTGAAGGACACTCTTGGTTTTTGTCTGAGCCAGTATTTGCTGAAAAAGTGCCAGTTTGTATTTTTACAGAGGGTCATAAGTTAATCTCACTCTGACAAAAACTCCCCAAAGCTGTTTTGTTTGCATGCTGTATGTTGTAACACATATAAATATAGAATAACAGGAGGAGAGCTGGAGAAGAACTTGGCTCAGGGATTCGAAATATTTCTCACCCAACACCAGCTGAGAGATAGTGAGAGTTTCGTGTGGCGAAGTCATGCCGCACTGTGAGTCACGCTCCTGGAAGACTCACTTTTAATAGTTTGTGGATGTAAGCAAAAAAAAAAACAGGCAGCCAACTTACATGATCTGGTCCAATTATAGTCTCACATTAGCTCTTTGTCGAAAGCATGACTGCAGAGGAATTTTGTGTATGACTCAATTTCATGTATCAGCACGTTTAGAAAGTTTGATTTCAGGGATTGGCAGAGGAGAAATGCTCTGTGTGTAAACCTGAGAATATTGAACACCTCACTAATAGACATATTAACCTTTGCACGGGTTCAGCATGGGACCAACATGTGGGTGGGATCAGTTTTCTAATTGTACTCTCAGTACAGAGTTAAAGGGATATTCCGGTGTAAAATTAATTTAGGGTCAAACACACTGTAACACTGAGTTAGACACCCCCTCGAGAGATAAATGTTGCCAATCGCTTGCTTCTCTAGTTTTACCAACTTTAGTAACGATCGCACAATAGCAATACTCAGGGGTCTGAGGAGCCATAAACAAACCTCAACCAAAATGCCACTCTATAGCCACAAATAATGCTCAGAACAGCACCTAACTTCATCAACAGTACATATAGGGTCCCAGCCATAGTATTAGCCACCAAACATCTTTTTAGCTTTGCCTAATTTCTTTAGTAAAGAGACTAAACACAACTCACCTACTCTCTTCCAGCAGCCGCTTGTTTGTAGCGAGACCTCGGGACAGTCCATTCGGGGGGCCGCAGCTCAAGGAAGAACATTTATGACCACTACTTGTTGGAAATGCAATCAGACCAAGTGCAAAATGTTTAATATGATGATTATTACTTGAAGGAAATGATAAAGAAATGATCATAAATGTTCTTCCTTGAGCTGCGTCACCCCGAATGGACTGTCCCGAGGTCTCGCTACAAACAAGCGGCTGCTGGAAGAGAGTTGGTGAGTTGTGTTTAGTCTCTTTGTTAAAGAAATTAGGCAAAGTTAAAAAGATGTTTGGTGTCTAGTACTATGGCTTGGACCCTATATGTACTGTTAATGAAGTTAGGTGCTGTTCTGAGCATTATTTGTGGCTATAGAGTGGCGTTTTGGTTGAGATTTGTTGATAACTCCTCAGACTGCTGTTACTAAAGTTGGTTTAACTAGAGAAGCAAGCGGTCGGCAACGTTCATCTCTCTACAGGGTGTCTAACTCTGTGTTACACTGTGTTTGACCCTAACTTAATTTTACACCAGAATATCCCTTTAATAGCAGTTTTTCAAGATGTAAAAGTAAAAGTACGACAAGCTCAGCAGAGGACGGATCAATCAGTCATTGATTTGATATGCGAGTGTCTGTTAATGCAGCATGTTTCAACCACAACACACCGTCTAATGTGGAAACCCAAAATGTGTTTACCTGTGAGCTTGTTTTGTTATGTGTGATGGTATCCTAAATTATTCAGTCGTATTTCACAGATAAAAAGTGAAAATAATGGTGATATTTCAGGAGACAGCACCTTCTCTATGTAGGACATTTATGTAACAAACCCAACCCTCTGTGCTAGATATCAATCTTGTCATCTGTCTGTGGAAAAATAGCAAAAAAAAAAAATCAAAATAATAACTCCAGAAATGTCAGACTTTTTCATTTCAAGCTCAGATGCACCAATCAGGTGAAAGACGTGTCACACAGGAAGCTCATGCAACACACTCGGAGCTTTGTCGACAAAGCGAACACACAGCTACTCTGTGTTTTAACAGTTCTCACAGCTCCAATACGTGTGCGGCTTTTTTACGTGGTCTGTAAAGACCGCTACATCCCCCCCTACAATCATTTCCTGGATCCCACAGGGAAAGAAAGAAACAGATGGGGAATGAAACGGCTCGGCTCGAGGAGGAGATGTGTGTGTGTGTGAACATGAAAAAGGGAGGTCTAAAGCTCGCGGCACTCTGCCTTTGTGTGTGTCCGTTTGTTTATTTCTTCAGATAATGTTTACAAGAATAAGCCCCGAGGCGTAAAATGCCATTTTTCATGCAGCGGTACATGTGTGTGTACATGTGTGCGCACATGTGTGTTTGTGTGGCCGAGGGAGGGGGAGCCGGTGCGTAGGTTGTGTTGTCTTCTGAAGCTTCCAGAGGGAAAGAAAGAGGAAGTAATTGGCCATCACAGAGAACCTCTACTTCAGACTCTCGGTCACACTACAGCACCTTTTCAAAGCATCTCTAACTGAATTTAACCGTCATTGAGCGAACGTGGAGTGAGGATACTTCACCTTTTCTTTCTTCTTCTGCACACTGATCCCAGTCTTGCCTTGGACAACCTATAGCCATGCTCATTTTATTGTGGAGTACCTGAATATGGCAGAGTAATGTTCACCATCACAAAAAATTAAAAATATCTACACTTCCTGAAGTGAATTCTTTCCTTTAGTGTTGCACGATTTACCAATTTTTGGTACTTTTTTGATACCCGGCCTTTTCGAAGCCGTTCTGGATACGATGGAAATTGGGGGTAAGAATTTCCAATGTGCTGTATTTCCTGTAGGTCAATGTAGCTCAGATGTAGCGAACTGAGAAAGCAGCATTTTCCAGTATGAGAGGAAGTTATAATATCACCTAAAAAGTGCCTGTCATTTACGATCAAGCGAAAAGCAATGCCTTTGCTTTCACATGTCCACCACCACAAACAACGGTGAGTCATCCTCTGAAATAGGACCTCCTTATCTGGCGCCACTAAACAGAACAAGCTGCTATATTCTCATATCAGACTAGTTTAGCAAAAGAGCTTACTTAAAAGCTGCGTGCAAAAGATGCTACAAGCGGTGAAACACTCCAGAACTCGCCCCCATGCTCTGTAAGTGGGATGACTAGCCTATTAAAAATTGTGACTTTTGTGAAATCAAAAGTATTAAGTTGCAGATATTTTAAGGTCTCATACAAGTAATTATCAAGACAGCTAGATAGTTAAATAGCATGAGGCTACCAGCTAACATTACTTGTGAGTTACCGTATTTTTCGGACTATTATGCGCACTTAAAATCACTAAATTTTCTTAAAAATTGACAGTGCGCCTTGTGTATGATTACTTGTTGTACTTACTGACCGATTTTTTCGTGGCACAGTGCGCTCAAGAATCTGTCGAAATGTGTAAGTACAATTTTGGTAAGCAACAAAGCCACTCCTTTAATGGATATTCGGAGCATTACGGTGACTGTCGTCTGAGCTTGAATCATCACTGAACAGATAAGTACCGGTTACAGTAACATGACCGACTCGGATAATGACGAGAGGGATCCGGGCATGCATGATGCCGAAATTGCACAGCTGTATAACTCAAAGGAATGAATCAATAAGTGAGCGTATTTTTCTGTACCGGTATTTGCTGTTACAACTGAATTAAATAAAGTTTGATTTACGGGACTGTGTTTAGTTGCTTATTGCGCCTTACAATACGGTGCGCCTTATGTATGAAAGTAGACACGTTAGTTCATAGTGCGCCTTGAAATCCGGTGCGCTTTATGGCCCGAAAAATACGGTATTCTATGTTGGCTCAGTCAAGTCAGGGATTGTGGCCTTTAAACAAGGTGCACTTGACGATGTAAAGATGTTGCTATCATCATGTTGTTTATAATATCTGAAGAGTCCCAGTTGGACTCAAATCTGAGCCGTGGACTTGAATGTTGTAGGAGTGAGCCCACACACTGAGAGTCAATGTTCGAAACACATATGCCAGTCATGTAAATGTAAGCAGTTCATTGTTTCAGTAAACAGACTCTTTAATGTTTTACCAAAGTCATCAACTCCTTTTTTTTTTTCTATCTCTCCAATCTAACCTTTGTTTTCTTTTATCTCCAATCTTATTTTAGCTTTGAATGTAACTTTTAATCTGTTAAATGTCTTTTACGCTGTTTTTACTTTTTAAATTGTGTTGAATGTTTTGCCTGCTTGTTTCATGTAAAGCACCTTGAATTGCCCTGCTGCTGAAATGTGCTATACAAATAAACTTGACTTGACTTGACTTGACTTTACAATTTTCTTTTTTATATACGTAAACCTCTAGTGTTTTGAAAATGATTCATCATTTCAGCTTTAATAGAGCTCAGCGACGTTAAACCGCCATAATTACAGTTTGTGGGGCCAGATTTTACAGAAGTTTACCAATTCCCTCAGGATTTGATGACAGACAACTGTAAAAATAGCTTTTTAAGTGGGCTCATTTCATGTCGACTCAAGCTGGGGAGCTCTGCAGTCTGGTTGGCTGTGATACACAGCAGCTCCAGAGTTCTGTCATTTTATGAGAGCTTTAAAGACTCCTGCCAGGAAGGAGGGAAGATTTAGAGACAGCACTGATGGTAGCCAATCCTCAGTGCTGTCCTCACGTCTTTGGTCACTGGTGTATATTGTCTTCTAAAATGGCATTAAAAACGGTGGGAGCCCATTCCAGCAGACAGCCGAGCCTTTTGAAAAACTGCCACACAAATTTAAGCTATAGTTTGGAGTCTCTGGCAGCGTTGCCTCCAAATCTCCTGTTCCATTTAACTGTCACATAATGGCTGCTGTGATGAACTGCTTCCCTTGCCCCGCACTCAACCGTTACCTACTGCTCTACAGTAACAACAGGAGCCCTTCTCCTTAATATGCCACCCTCTGAGTGAAGTAAAATATGAAGAGACTTCTTTACAAGCCCCACACTTAGCCCACATTACACCGCTACGCCTGCGGGTGAAAGTGTAACACAACATACATGGAGTGAAAACGAAGGGTGCGGCAAAATAAGAGATGTGGGGGCGGAGGGAAAACTGCCCTCTTGGATACAGCAATTAATCAATTAGCTGGAGCGAATCAATACTCCCCGCCCAGCTTGGCAGCCTGACAGCACTCAGGTGTAATTAAAATTGTAACTATTGACAAATCAAGATGGATGGAGCGCTCCTTGCCTTTTCTGCTCAGCCTCCAAAGAAAGAGATAATCTTTGTGTCACCGAGGTAACGTCAGGGAGCAGGAATGTGAAGGCGAAAGAGGGCGCGCTGCGAGGTGCGAAAGTGTTAGCGAGAGGGGTAAAGCCACGGGTCAAAGCCTCGTTTTCCAAACATCTATCTCAATCCGTCAGCCTCCATCAACGCCGGGTCGTCGGTATTAAGTAGACTGTTAAGAACGTTGAGGGAATCAGCCGCGTGTGACGCGCATCCAAGCAAGTGGAAATGAAGATGTTGATCTAACAAATCTGCATTTGGGTAGCCACGCAAGTGTGAAGACGTGTGAATGTGTTCCTCTTTACTGTAAGCCGGCTCTACTGTATTTTCTCACCTGTCTCAGGCAAAGCATGGAACTTAATTAGCAGGTGAGATTCAGATATGACTAATCCCAGCATGCACCATCAGGGAGCTGGATGTGGAGTCGGAAAAACACCTGACATGCGATCTGACCTGGGGCTTGTCACCCGTAAAGTGCTGAAAT